TGCCCCATCACCTATATCTGGCATTTCTCCCCATGTTATCCCTCCCCAACCTCCCTACTATCCACTGTCCCTCCACTGAGTCTCCCCACAACAGATCCCAGTGTGTGATGCTCCCCTCCTTGTGTCCATGTGCTTTCATTGTTCAACATCTGCCTATGAGTGAGAACATGCGGTGTTTGGTTTTCTGTTCTTGTGTCATTTTGCTGAGAATGATGGTTTCTAGCTTTATCTATCTTCCTACAAAGAACATGAACTCATCGTGTTTTATGGCTGCATAGTATTCCATGGTGTATATGTGCCACATTTTCTTTGTCCAGTCTATCACTGTTGGGCATCTGGGTTGGTTCCAGGTCTTTGCTATTGTAAGCAGTGCCACAATGAACACACGTGTGTATGTGTCTTTATAATAGAACAATTTATAACCCTTGGGTATATACCCAGTAATGGGATTGCTGGCTCAAATGGAATTTTTATTTCTAGATTCTTTAGGAATTGCCACACAGTCTTCCACAGTGGTTTAACTAATTTACACTCCCACCAACAGTGTAAAAGTGTTCCTATTTCTCCACATCCTCTCCAGCATCTGTTGTCCCCAGATTTTCTAATGATCGGCATTCTACGTGGCGTGAGATGGTATCTCAATGTGGTTTTAATTTGCATTTATCTAATGACTAGTGATGATGAACATTTTTTCATATGTTTGTTGGCCTTATAAATGTCTTCTTTTGAAAAGTGTCTGTTCATATCTTTTGCCCACTTTTGAAGGGGTTTGTTTGTTTGTTTGTTGTTAATCTTCTTTAGTTCTTTGTAGATTCTGGATATTAGCCCTTTGTCAGATGGATAGATTGCAAAATATTTTTCCCAGTCTGTTGGTTGCTGGTGTATTCTAATAATGTTTTCTTTTGCTGTGCAGAAACTCTTAAGTTTAATGAGATCCCATTTGCCTATTTTAGCTTTTGTTGCAATTGCTTTTGGTGTTTTAGTCATGAAGTCCTTCCCTATGCCTATGTTCTGAATGGCATTGCCTAGGTTTTTTTCTAGGGTTTTTATGGTGTTAGGTTTAATGTTTAAACCTTTAATCCATCTGGAGTTAATTTTAGTGTAAGTTGTAAGGAACGTGTCCAGTTTTAGCTTTTTGCACATTGTTCAGAAGGTGTTTTAGAACATGACAACAGGCTGTAGGGACACTTGCCTTCTTCCAGGCACAGATAGCAGCAAGGATGTGCCAGGTTGGGTAGACTATGTCCAAGCCAGGGTTTCCCCCACTGGGGTTCAGAGCCCTTAAGGAAGTATACCTGCCATTGGAGCCTTGTGAAGAAGCAGGTAAATTACAGGACCGGGGACAGAGCAGCCAGGCCACCCCAAGACCAGTAGCCTAGTGGGCAGAGCTGATCCATCGTGGAACAGGTTTAGGTGAAGCTACTGTCCACTGATGGCTGAGACTGGGGTCATTTACTCTGATCTCCTTTGTGAAGAGTTCAGTGGTGCCCTTGGCTGGGGCCATGCAGGGGCAAGGGGCTCCCTATCCTCCCTGCGAACAGAGAAGTTTTGGGATGCGTGGCAGGGCAACTCATGCCGAGCAGTCTCTGGAGACTGCCAGGGGAACTCATGGTGGGCCACCTCTGCCTGTCCATTCTTACAGAGAGAGCTGTGGAGGCAAGGTGCAATTCTGGGAATGAGCATAGGCCATGGGCCAGCCAGGAGTTCTTCTCTCAACCAGCTTCAGCCTGAGGGCTTCACACTGCCATCTGTCTAGTGCTCTTGGGCTTTCCTCAGCACCTGAGCTCAGGTGCCTCTCATTTCCAGAAACAATTTTGACTTGATGGCACTATGGCTCCACAAACTACAAGTACAATTGTAACCCTGTTCCTCCAGCTTGAGGGTCTCTGACTTTTCCAATGTGAACAAATAAACAGAAAGGAGAAAGAGAAAAAGATGGTGGAGAGAAAGGAATCAGCCACCTGATTCCAGGTTGACCGCCAAAGTCAGAGGTCCACGTGACCAAGAACCAGTAGGCTGGAGACCCTGCAGGAATCCTGTTTGGGAAGCCAGCCTTTGGCCTTCCTTTGGCCGTCTCTAGGTTTCATGGCTCCTGCTCCTGCAGAAAATAAAAGACAAAGGACACATAATCATGGGCACTGGGACACTACAAGAGACTTGGGATCACAGGGCTGTGGTTACAGGACAAAGTGTTGGTCACCCAGCTGACTTACACAAGGTTTTGCTGCAGGACTGGGTGTCCTCCCAAAGTCTGGAAACCTAGGTACAGTTTCCCACCTTGGGCTGGCACATGGAAGTCACCAGAATGGGAAGACTGCTCAAGCAGGAGCCATAGGACTCGAGGCAGGATTATCCCTTAGAGAGCACACTCAGCCACTTACCCAAGTCTGACTCAGTACAGGCTGTCCTGGCTTTCACACAGGCAAGGGTGAGAGGAGGGTGGCTTAGTGGAACTCAAAAAGGCCACCACACACCACAGATTCCCATGACATCACACAGGGCTAAATCTCCCAACAGGACTCTCTCTGCCTCTACCCAAAAGGGGGGTTTGCTTTTAAGCAGGTTGACCCAGGATGCCTGTTTCACACCCTCTGCTGTGGCCTATCTGATAACAGACTTCCCGCATTCATTCTCAGGAGAAAGCCGAGTTGCCCAATCAATGGCATGAGGACCTAGCCCTGAAGCCAGAAATGATTGCCCATAGCCCATTGCTTGTCAGCGAATGAGAGCCAGTATGAGAGGCTTTATGGGTAATCTCATGCCTGTGGCATTGTGTGTTTGTTTGCCTCTGAGTGAGAGAATGCTTGGGCCTGAAACCCTGTGCCTTTGTGAGGTTACCTGTTTGTCTATGTGTGTGTGTGTGTGTGTGCATGTGTGTGTGTGTGTGTGACTATGTGTGTCGCTGTGCTTGCATGTGTGTGTGTCTGCATGTGTGTTTCTATCTGCATCTGCATGTATCTCCGTGTGTGTACAGATTTGTAATTGTATTTCGTTGTGGGGTTTCTTGTGAGTGTGTGCATGTGTTCTGTGTCTGTGGTCTGTGGGTTCCTGCCTGTGTGAGTGAAAGTGGGCAAATTGGCACGCGGCAGAGACAGCCTGACTGTACACACTAAAATCCATATTGTTTTCTCCACATGGTTTAACTGAAGAAAAGGCAATGGGGGACAACATGACAAATTGCCAGGCTCCTACTGACACAAAATTATACATTTAGAAGGTCCACAAAAAGAAAAAGAAAGAATGGCAAGCGAGGAGGTATAACATTTTAAGTAAAAGTAACACTTGGACAGCTTATGGGTGAACAAAAGAAACTGAACTGGTGACCTTCACTGATGTTCTTTCAAGAGAAAAAGTGAAGCCTTTCTTGAGGCCTAGCGCTGCAGAGGAAAATCCCCAATCACTGAGAAGTAGAAGCGGAAGCAGTCTCCTAGAACACGTTTCCTGTACAGAACTGAAAGTGAAAGAAAAAAAGGAGAAAACAAAACAAAACAAAAAAAGTTGAAAAAGAAGAAAGAAAAGACAAAGGACAAAAAAGAAGAAAAGAAAAAGAGAAACAGAAACAGAGATGCAACAAAGAAATAAAAAGAAGACCAAAAAAGAGAAGAAAAAAAGAAGAAGAAGAAAGAAGAAGAGGAAGAAGAAGAAGAAGAAGGAGGAGGAGGAGGAGGAGGAGGAGAGGAAGAGGAGGAAGAGGAAGAGGA